CATGAAAAGAAATACAGTCTGTATTTCAGTCAGGAATAGACTTCTGTAGGCTTCTAGTAGGCATCGTATGTCATGCAGGGAAAACCGCTTTTTTCTTCCTCTGATAAGGTTGCAGTTAGCGTTACCGTTTCTGCTTTTCCAGGTGAAGTATTGTCATGTTGTTCTATGTCTTTATTTTAACAAGTTTTAACTTTGACGAGAAAATGGAAAATAGGATCATTGTTACGTTTAAAGTGAAAACATAATTGAGGAAGAGGAACTGATTTGAACCTGGTCAAAGCTGGCTTACAAGACCAATGTGGTCTTAAACTAAGAACGGCAGATTTAGATTAATTGTAAGGAAAAGCTTCCAAGCAGCAAGAGGAGTTTGTGAAAGGAACAACTTCAGTTCATTGCTTAGACTTTGGTTATAGAAATGGGTGTACACGAAAAGTGAATAAATTAAAAAATCAAAACCTCTTAGCGCTGGAACTCAGTTCCTTGCTGTGCTCTGTGTGGCGGTTGACCTGTTCTGGGTTGTGCAGCGGCAGAAGGCCATCCTTTGGGCTCCATTTTGTAGAAGTGGAAAATGTGTAGTCATACCTCAGCACTGGCATTCAGAAGATGGTGCCTAACAGCATGGCTCTGTCTTGTGGCATTAGTTGGGTCTCTCACTCCACAGTTTGAGATGCCCGACACCACACTGCACAGCTGCTTCACAGAAAATAAGGAACAGAATTAGTAACCACTTCATCTTCAGATGTCCAGGCCTTTCCAGATGTTCAGCTGTCCAGTCAGCAATACCACTGAGCTGCTGTAATGTGAGACCATATGTCCAGCAGTCTTGGTGAGCTGTGGAAAATTTTTGGTCTGCCTGGGTAGAATTGTGGTCAGAGAATGACACATGTCCAGAAAAAAACCAGCTATGTTATAGCCCTATCGGTGCGGAATTATTAATAACTGATTTGGAGAAAATTCTGATTAGTAGGCAGTAAATAAGGCTTGATGTGCCTATTGAGGCAATGAGAGTAAACCAAAAATCAGTAACTGCTCATTTAATGAGTGTCATTCACGCTGTGCAGGAGTTGCGTGCCTGTGGAGAAAATGGGACGCAGTTGTGTACGTGATGGTGTCAAAACACATAGGCATAAAAGAGACATGTACAGATAGCAAAGATGGCTTTCATTTTGGCACTTGCAGAGTTGAATGTGAAGTATCAAGTGATAGGAAAACCCCTGCTACCAGACCCCCTCTGTAGGGGAGGGCATTTATTGTTTCTGGTTGCACTGTGGTGAGGTTGAGTGGGAGATGGGCTGCAGGGCGGCAGTCGTCCTGCGTTCCCACTGGTGTTGTGCACAAGTTTGGAGCAGTGTGCTAAACAGGCTGTCTCCCTTTGCCCATCATCCACACAGTCACTGTATCTGCCTGTGGATATGTCTATGTGTGTATAATGCTTTAATGCTCAAATAGACACTGTCTTTTGGATCTTGCTCAATTGGGCGTTGCTTTAGTTCTGGGAGAAAAAATTCTTTTCTGACCCCAGATAGGGATCAGTTCTGCTTATGCTGCAAAGAATAGAGATTAATATCCCCTGTGACCTTTCAGCCTAGCTGCTGCAGGGTTTTTAACAAGTGGGCTTAAGACCCCATGTGTGGCAGCTGTACCGACATGAATGTCTGTAATGTCTCTTCTTGTCAATGATCCGTGAACTAGAGAATCTCCAAGGATGTCTTGCGTCGTGGAGCTGTTACGGTCTAGTGCAGGAAAGAACCACACAACGATAGGGTGCAAAGCTGGCGTCAGGAGTAATGTGTAAGTTGTTTTAAATGTACCTGACAACAGTTGTCCCTGGCTGTCATATGGTAGGGAAAACAAATATTTAAACAAAACCCCAAACAACAAAAAACAAACAACAAAATAACTATTTATGACTTCTGTATTTCTGGTTCCTTGGATGTCTGCGATTTTGTATGAACCTATGATGTAATGTAGAACAGATAATTAAAAGTAAGTACATAACATGAAGTAGCCCCCCACCTAGTTCTAGCTACCTCTTCCTCCCCACCCCAGCACTGAAGAGTAGGATTATCCAGAAAACAATCCAGGAAGGTATTTTCTCTTAGTTTTGAATGTATTTGTTTTGACTTGCTTTGACTATTCTGAACTACTGTTACAATTGCTGGTGTGCATAAAAGGTTTGTAGTTTGTTTAAACTGTTTTAGCCATCAGTTTTAAATAGACAGTCTTTCTGCAATAGGACCTCAAAGAACTGCCTAAGGTCAGGGAGAGCACTGATTTAGGACTGAGGTCTACAGTTGCTGTTTCAAACTTGTCATGGGTATATGGCTGATGTTATATTCTCCTCAAGCTATATTACCTGCTTTGGTGTCTAGGGTAGATGATAAGTAAAAACTAATGCCTGAATCCAAGAGAAAGATCCAGAGGCTTTTGTCAGTCTACCTCTGGAGGCATCAGCCACTCAGTAGGTACATACGTGTACATCCACCAACCTCCCTGTATGCTCCAAGTTTCAGTGCCTGTTGGTGCTTAGAAGCTCTCCAGCATGACACACTGGGCTTCAAGCTCTTGCTTAAGCTTCAGTGTCACTGGCGTGAGGCCAGAAATGTCCAGACTCTTGGTTGCTGGAGGAAATGGGAGACTCTCACTTGGTTACACCTGCAGTTTTAAGACCATGTAAATTTTTCTTCCTCCTGCTTCCCAGCTCCCTGCGCTAACCAGGGAGAAGTAGCTGTAATAATCAGATACAAGAAATTCCTAAAGTACGAGTTCTGCCTAATGGATTTCTAGGCATTGAATGCAGCAGTTGCTTAAAAATTATTTATTTACTCTCTGTCTACATGTGGGGAAAACCTCCAGAGTTTTAAGTACTGTTTTCCTTACAAGGACAAGCTGGTTGTGTAGCAGGTCCTAACCTGGATGTGTTTGAAGATGGGGCAATGGATTCTGCCCCAGGTGGTGTTTTGTTCATTTATAAATTGACTCATCAGATCTGAACGGGTTGCAACCTATATTCAGTTCCTATCTTTTTTATCCATTTCCAGTGCAATGCAAGTGATATAACTTTTTCCAGTTATCATCTTCTGTATTTTGAAATTAAATTATCCTAATTGCCACAGAGCTAGAGCTCTCCAGTGATGTATCCTGCCCTTCCACCGCACTGAGAAAAAACAAAATTGGGGTCATTGCCCTTTCCACCCTAGTTCTGCTCCTGCCCATTAGTTTATAACAGCCCATGGGGATGATCTGCAAGCTGAAATGGACAGCACAAGGACAAGTAAGCCTCAATGCATCTTGCTGTGCTTGGTGGAGCACCAGCCGTGGGGCAGCAGCGTACTCTTGCTATCATAGTCTTCTCCACGTGGAACCTGTGTGGCTGGTGCATTTGAAGGTAGCAGTTTTCCGTGGTCTAGTTGCAGGGAGCAGGAGTGAAGATGTGGTGGAGCAGACCTGGTGTGCAGTAAGGACCATCAGTATGGCACTGTTGGGAGGCAGAGCGTATGTTAGCTATAGGCAGCGTTCAGGGAGAGCAGAATGAAGGTCACGGATCGTGAGAGGTTTGCTAAGTACAAGTGAATACTAAGGCACAAGATACATCCTCCTTAATGCCGTCTTGATCTTGTCTTGTCTGTTCTATAAAAACTACTAACATTTTTATAACCCACTAGGATGTAAAAGGTTATTCCTCCCTGTTCTCTCTGCTCCCACCTGCTCCTGCTGCAGGCACTCTGGTATCACGCCGTATTTTCAGCTGCATAGCCTAAACCGTGCACTGTGCCGGGCCCTGGCCTTGCTCTCCCCTGTATCTCTCTGACTGTATCCCTCCTTTCCTCTTTCTTCACCACCACCTTGGCCTTGCCAAACCCTCGATGCAGCTGGTGGATGACCCTCCCGAGCCGGCCTCCTCCCCCTTGGTCAATGCAACTCTTTGCATTGTGAAGCTATGAATAGTAATTTTTTATTTTTGATTTCCAGGGTTTATATCTGGGTGAATGTCAGAGACCCCACCTGTCCAGAGTCAGAGGACAAGGGGAAGGAACTGATGCTCTTTTTGTGTGGTAAGGACCTAAAGTTTGGGTCATGTGGGATTCAGATAAAGGGCCAGGTACTGCTTTGATCTTGAACCTTAAATACAAACCTAGCTGTACAATATGGATTACTTTTGAATGTATGGTTTAATATTGCTTTCTTGAATGGTTACTGGGAAAAGCTGGACTATGGGTTTGCCTTACAGTCGTGCTGCAATTTACTACTTGTGTAAAAAAGTTAGTAAAATCTGTAAATCTTAAATTGTTTCGGGGTCTAGGGGAAGGTTGTACTTTGGGAATCACTGTTTTAAAAAATCTTAAATTTGGATTGCTAACTCTGCCATAAATCCCAAAGTGACATGTTAAATTTAATGAAAAAATCCAAGTCAGCATGTGGATGCTGGAGTACTGTGAAAGAAGATTTAAACAGAATGAGGCTGTCAACTTTGTCTATAGTAGAGCTGTCATTCAACCATATCGTAATCTCATTATGGTGAGGGCTCTTGAAAGTGCTAAGTGCAGACTTCCTTGATGCTGGTTGGCGCATTTAGGCACGTATGTAATACAACAGCATAAAAAGCAATTTAATGCCTCGTGTGATTTGTGATTCACGGGTTGATGGCTGCTAATATATCATGGTGATCAACAAATGAAAGTTTGGCTTGTTAGGTTCAGTGTGGGCAGGGCATTTAATTTTTTTCCATTAATTTAACAGGATTGAGGTCAAAGGCAGGAAAGAAGTTGTGGGGTTTTTTTGCTATAAGAGTTATGATTCATGATCTCAAACCGTAGGCTACTGAAGAGGTACTCCAGAACTAAATGGTTGAAAAAGAGGGAGGCTGAACAGGAACAGGGGGCAGAAAGACACAATTCAGCTATGAGAAAAAACAAAACTAAAGTGTCACGGTATTATTCTACAGCATGTCAAATTCATTTTTCTGATGATTATGTTCTCTTTTAGATTTCTGAGTGAAGATGAATTTAGCAGAGATTTGTGATAATGCCAAAAAAGGAAGAGACTACGCACTCCTTGGGAATTATGACTCTTCTATGGTATATTACCAGGGTGTCATCCAGCAAATCCAGAGACATTGCCAGTCTATCAGAGATCCAGCAATTAAGGGCAAATGGCAACAGGTAGGGTGAAATAAGGTTGTTCTTATTCTACTACTTGATATTTGAAAAACACACTGTACTTCCCAAACCTTTTAAGATGCAGAGGATGTATATTTCAGTTAAGTTTACAACATTTCTTTTATAATATTTTGTTAATATTTATGGGAAAATATTTTTTTGTGGCGTGTTCAAAAGGAATTCTTTTGTTCTAATGGCATCAATTTTTTTGTTGTTTTCACTTAGGATTTCTGGCTAATCATTGGTCTGTGTGTAGTTGCATACTTTGGAAAAACCTGTTTTGCTGAGGACTTCCTTTTGCTGTTTTATGTTTTGACCATCTGATGTCCAGTAAACCTATGATGTGAACGGATGGGTTAGCATAACTAGAATGGTTGTCTGAGTAGCAGTTAACTGCAATGCTACATTGTGCAAATTTGGATCAGATTTCTGACACTCCAAGTAATATTCTTAGCCTGAGTCTTGCACCTGTGCATCTCCCTGCTAAGCAGAGTCCTGTTGAAGTCCAGGAAGTAATCCGCAGATGAAATGTAAGAACCCTGATTTAGCACTTTCAGTATTTAAGTCTTCCTTACATTTTGTGATCCCATTTTTCATTGTACAAAGTGTGTTCCATCAAAAAAAACTGAACAACCAAAACTGGAGGGAAAACATGTAAAGGTGTATTCCAGAATAAAGAAATTATGTTGCATAAATATTCTGTTTTGAAGGAAGAACATAGCTCCTATAAAAGATAGAACTTTGCAGTAAGTAGCTGAAGAGATGATTTCAAGAACAGTTTTTCTGAATATCATATCTTTAAATGATGTCACTTAAAACTAGCAAATTTTTATTTTTTTATTGCAGCAAGTGCTTTGGTTATGGTTTTGTGCTGGAAACATCTGATGCTAACATAGAGTACTGATTGCTACAGCAGTGTTAGCAATCATTTTGTAATGACAATACTATTCATAGATGTTTATCATAGAAATGTAGAAGTCTGCTTATTAAGAGCTTGTCTGCAAAGCACACGAGTGTACAAACAGCAGTGACAGTGCCTGGCTTTCCTGGTGATGTAGTAAGCTGAATGTTGCATAGGAGATATTCACATTCAAATATTTGTATTCAAGCTCTTCCCTACCCCAGGGCATGCTGATACAAGGTGTTCATGCCCCATGCCTGTCCTTAGTTCCTGCCGAATTTGTAGGTGATGTGAAGGCAGAGCATGAGGCTTTCCATGTTCTGCAGCTGCATCACTGCACAGCCTTCACTTCTGGTAGTTGGTGTTTCCTCTGATGACATTGGTTCTTCCATTAAACTTTTAACAACTCTTATCTTGTGAAGGTTATTTGGAGTCTCATGATGTGTGTTGTTTGAACTGCTTCAGAGAAGCCCGAGCAACATGGAATGCATGCTGTACATTTGTGACAAGCCTCAAGTGAAAAAGGACCATTAACAGTTTCCAGGATTATTCCCTGGTGAAGGCAGCTGGCTCCTTAGCAGAGGATCTGAAGTTGGCACCTTCTCAGAAATTACCCCTTTTAGGTAAAAACAGAATGGCCCCTGACAGTGTCCCATAAATGCTGTAGGGAACTGTCCCCAGAAAGATCAGTGGCAGGTGGGGTAGCGCCTATCACACTGTGTGCTCGTGTTAATTCTGGAAGTTCCCAACACAGCGGTGGCAGATGAGCTGTGTCAGAATATTGCTTTGCCACTACTGAAGCCAGTCTCGGCTCAGGGACAGAAATAAGAAGCATGATGAGAAAAAAAAGTTGTTCTTCATTCCCAGGCTGTTTGCCTTCTCATTCATTTATGGGACTACCCATAGCACTGGGAACAAAATGACTTAGCCCTGAGAGCAAATGATCAGGCCTGGAGCCACTGCCTTCTCCATACCTGCACCTGAATGGTTTAGTGAGACCTATAGAGGTAGACCTGCTTTCTTACCCACTCTTGATTAATAGTTGTGCTTTCTCATTCCTTTGGACAGACGAAGAGGGAGTCTGATGATCTGGATGTTGGCACTGCTTTTGAGCTCCAGCAACAACTACATCCAAACTGTCAGTCATATTCAGTAGCTGTCTGACAGAGAGCCCGTTCTGAAAAAAAATTCAAAAGTTGGATCACAAGTAACATACATTCACAATAGTAAAATAATATTTAGATATTCTTTTTAGATCATTCTCATGAAAGAGTTATGCTGTGCACATTACATAAGTTTAGCAAAATTCAAGTCTAACCCACTTGGTACCAGTAATGTACAGAAGCAAAAGATTCCCATACCTATATGTTTCTTGCAAGTGGCATTAGAAGTAAAGCAAAAGGTCATGGTTAAGGGGATGAATACAACTTGATTTTTACCTGAAATTCTGTCTCCTCTGGTGTTAGGCACTAGCCTGTTCCTTAGGTTCTTCAGTTTCTCCATCCTCTGAGGAATCTGAGGAGGATAATACCACTGGTACCTTTTGGAGGTGGAGTTTAGCAATCTCTAGCAGACACTGGGTAGGTAGAGCTTTTTACTCTTGGGAGCGGTCCACAGTGTGAATATCCATGTAGATAAGTGTTCAAAGGAGAAGATTGTGGCTTAAACCAGTTCTTCTCCGAGATGTTCTGTCTGCAGACACATTCACAGTCTTGAACGTCCTGAAGGATTCCTGAGACACTGACACTGAGGGGATCTGCCACAATGATCACGCCCTTCCTTTCTTTTTGTTTGTGTTTGCCCTGCTGCTACTTCTGAGGCAGTGAACTCAGTTTCAGGTGTTTATGTACATGTTTACTCATAAAATGGGAATGTTTGTATCGATAACATCTCCAAGAATAGTTACAGCCATGGCTCTGCAGCTGACCAACTCACTTCTGTTACATGAACCGTCATTCTCCCTATCTGGTCACTTCTCTGCAGTGGGTGTCCATCCTGAATAGGTACCTCATGCTGGCTAGATCTGTTTTGTTGCCTTTGTACTACACGGGATTTTTCCAGCAGTTGATTGAGCAATGTAGAGCAGAGGTGAACTAGAAGTAGTTGGGATTTTCAAGTCAGATTCCCAAGCGCTCTTGGCACACCTCTCTTTTTCCAGGTGTCATTGTTTTCAAATTTCTGCAGGCTGGTCTGGTCAGAATGATGCACTGTGCAAGTGTTCGGTGACTTGTATTTCATGTCACACATCAGACAGCTTCAGCTTTGCAGCCGGGCTCCCTGATTTCAAGGGTTCCCTGTGCTCAGTGCTATGATTCTATGATGACTCTATGATTCTGATAGTTGGGAGGAGGAGGAATGTGAACATGTGTCTTCTGCTCCCCTGGAAACAACTGCCTGGCTCAGTTCCACTTGATGCAATGCTGCTTCTGGGATTTCAGAATCAGCACTGATGAGGGGAGAGGGATGGTGTTACTGTCCGACAGAACCTGCAGGACTTCAGAAGGACAAAAGATGCATCCTTGAGGGTTCACCAGAGCAGCGGTGTGACAACATAAGAATTCTTCTGACCTTTTGGGCAATTCACTGTTGTCGATCATCTGATAACCAGCTTGGCTTGGGGATATCAAGGGTGACCTGCTCTTGAGATCCTTATTTGTTTTGCATCTGGGGAGTTCCCAGCTTGCTCTTGGGTGGCTGAGTGTAGCTCCATACTTATCCTTACTCCTAGGCCTCCGAGCTCATTTGAAAAAGTTACTTTTTTGTTGTGCATTGAGATTTGGCTGACATGTAGGCATATTCATCCATGTAAATGCAGGCTGGGACTGGAAACTTTCAAAATCTGATGCAACTCATCTCTTTTTCTACTTAATGACAATAAAAGGCAGATTTACTCTCATGACCGCCACTGTGAACTTCCCTTGTGTTGACATTCCCCCTGTTTATTCTGAGAGAGCCTCTTGGCTGTTGCAGTCTTTCTGCTGACAGCTGGCTTGCAGGAAAGAGCTGCTCCAGTGACAGCGCAGCAGCTGCAGAATGACAGCAGAGCATGCCCCCGGGAGATGGTACTGCTTTACGACAAGGCCAGCGGCTGTCGAGCAAAACCTGCTGCATGTTCTAACTGTGTGCTCTGCGTTACATAATATCGGAGAGCACAGGAGCTCAACGATTCCCAGGGCACTTGGAGCAGCCAGCAGGGCACCCTGACTGACCATGGTCACTGGAGCAGGTGCTTAAGCACTGTATTCTTGCTCAGAGAATAAAGGATGATTTTTACTTTTTTCAAAAATTTTAAGCACGTTTCAGTCAATCTGTGGTTATGTTGATTTTGCTTCATGCCTGTTTTATTAACACTTCATCGGTTTCTTTGTGAGTAATTAAGGAACATTCTCCAAGTGACTCATGAGGAATTGTGATTACAGAAGCTATACTTGACTCCATGGGATTGGACTGGGTTACAGGGCATCAGTTTTGGATATGGTTTAGGGAATTGTTATTTTCACTTTTTAAAAATGAAGCTTGCTGACTAGCACTAATTGCAGGCAGTAATTTCAGATTTGGAAGAAACGTTTATAGAAGCTTGGTTAGTTTTGTTCCAACAAGGTACAAACACCCATGCTTATTGCTATGTGAAACAGTGTAGAAGTACACTCTATTTCCTGAAACTGCTTAAACATGAATAACCTAAAAGCTTTCTTCAGACTGTTTACATCCTGAGCTGGATCCCCCTGAGGGCTCTGGCACCCAAGGGAGGAGTATGGTTGGAGGCAAAGAAACTGGGTGAGTCCAGACCAGTGATTTTCCAGCTTGCAGCCTTCTGAGGTTGCTTCAGCGTAGCAGTGATCCCTCAAAGATGCTGCCCAGTCACCTCCACAATTATGGCACGGCCCTTCTTGGCTCATGTCTGGGGTGTTTCTCAGCTGCAAGAAGTTCTTTCTGCACCTGTTTCATCTGACTTGGTTTCCTTAAGGCCTCTAGGAATTTATCAGCTGGTTTTCCTTTGTGGTCCTGTTGTTTGAGTCCACCAAAGGTTTTTGTTGGTTGGTTTGCTAGGTACTGTGTGTATTTCAGAGTTTGGCCTTCTCGGGCCTGGACAAGAGCTGGCCAGCAGTTGTTAGTGTGTTTTTAGCTTCCAAGGCATCAAAGGCTCACTTTCTCTCAGTTTTCAGATACCATCGTCCCTCCTGGTCCAGAGAGCTGAATGACAGCACTCCGGCCCTCAGCGCTAGCAAGTTGTTTTCCACCAGCTTTCCTGCATGTGTTGGAAGGCTGATAGGAGGAATCCTGTCTGTATTCCTGGAGCACTGGAGTAAGAAGCTCTGTCTTTCGTGGAGCAGTGCCCTGGAGGATTTATGCTATATCATTCCTTTATACCTCACAGCAGCTGTTTGGCTGGATTTATTTTTGGACAGGAGGGATGCGTGTTAGACAGTTTGAAGGAACCAAGTTAGCAATCAATCACATTTGTAGCTCAGCTGGAAGCTCTTGCACTGGGGGATGCGTCTGCTGATCGTGTGATGAGAAAGCAAAGAGAGCAAAGCAGAGCAGGAGCAATCCTGCCTGAGCTGGTTGTCTTGTGTCTTTGGAAAGATAGAGCTACCCCTTCTGGAATGAGCCGGGAGGCTGCTTTGCCCTGTGAAATGATCAAGTCCTTCCCAAACCTAAGGCTCCTTTTGTGCAGATGCACACAGAGCTTCTGGTGAAGTCAGTGCAGTGTTGCGAGAACAGTGCAGGGCCTTGGGGATTTGCCCATCATTTTGCCCATGTCCTTAGTGGTATCTTGCCAACATATATTCTTCTTCTTAAACAGGCTTTTAAACCAGAGAAGAATTTCTTTGTGCTGCTGAAATCTCCTAATTTGTCATTACAGTGGGAAAATTCCTGGGAAATATTACAGAGCAGAATGGTACATTGCTGTGGAATGTCCCTGGTAGTATTTTAGGAGAACTGTAGCTTCTAGAAGGAGGTGATGTGTGTTTGTTACTGTGTGCTGTCGATTTAATAATTCATTCTTTTATACACCTTACCCACCAGTTATGTCAGATCGTGCTTTCCGTTTTCAAGTTGCCTCACCAAAAGCGAGAGGCTGCTCCTGCTGCTGTTTTGAATATGTGGAGTAGGGCGGGTGAGGAAAGATTCTGAGAGGGGAAATGAGAGTGTGAGAGAGAAATGGGATGAGCAGGTGAAAATCAGGCTTCCAAAAGTGTGCCAGCAAGACACAGCATGCTGCATGTGCCCAACGTGGTTTCTTTCTAAGAACACAGGGAGGTGGGAGGATCTCAGGCTAGCGGCCACGTCTTTTCACCAGTAAGCACCATTAGGAACAGCAGTCACACGGTGTGATACTGTTTAGTACTAGTTCCCTGATCTGCTGCTGTTCTGACCTCAGCAGACAGGCTGGGTTTGCAGACCTCCATTGTCCTGATCCTCTCAGTTTCTCATGATCTGCACAGCAGAGAAGGTCTAGATTTCAGACAGCATCACTGACATCCGTCGATGCTGTCCTCAGTTGCCTTCCTCTGTTTGCCACAAAGTGAAGCCTGGTCGCAGCATTCCTAGGCAACATTTTTCCCAGCTCTTTTTTCACGTGGATGCATGACATGAGCACAGCTGGGTGCCTGGTGTCTTTCCTTGGCCTTCTTGTAAGATGACTTCAGATCCTGGCTTTTGATTCAGCCTTGCAGTGTATTCTGGTGATAGACTCACTCACTTTTGTGCGTGGTGGCAGCCTGCAAATATCCTCACCATGCTGTTTCTTCACAAGAGCTTGTGGAGCCTTTCCAGTGGATGGAGAGGTTCAGGATGTCTCTGTAGCTGCAGTTGTGAGCCTGTAACAAGCAAGATTCACACTGGCTTAAGGTAATCCTCACTGCAGAGCACCAGTGCTGATTTCCAGGCATGCATAGCAATACATGAATTAGTTTTAGCTGTGCACCAGCACTTCAGTGAAGAGGTGACATCTGGGTGTTATGGTCCTCGAGCAGGTAAAGACCAAAGTCAGCACGGAGATTGATCCCACAGGATGGAAAGCGTCACGGAGTGGTGGAAGGCTGGTAAGGTGGAGTACAAGTGCACTCAGGTGAATCTTAGTGCATCCTAAGCTGAGGCTCTGAGAGCTTATGCTTCTGAGCAG